TTTTTTTTTTTTTTTAACATTGAGCTACGCTCCATTATTTCTCTACTGACTTAGCATCTACAAGCACATAACAAGAAAAATTGTAATATTTTACAGAACAGAGTGATGGCAGACAGATTCGTTGTTCAGGAATTAAAGGGCTTACAGTAATAGACATAGATGTAGCTGTGGTATCTAATACCGTGAGGACTTATAGGACGTATGTTGAAGAGAATGAGAAATAATTGGCTAAAATAAATAATTTACTATCCACCAAGGTCGCCATTTTTCAAAAATTATATTTATTTAATCCGTAATCTCAGCGAGAACATACTTTTTTTATTATTGTTAATTCGGTCGTTATTTTTGACACGTGACCGTTAAAAGACATGGTTTCGTTCGGACATTTTTCTCTTGGTGGGAGCTGGAAGGTGCAGTCGTCGCCCCCCCCCCCCCCCCCCATCCCCCAAAGTATTCTGCTCTTTAGACAAAAGCCTCATTAAGGCCTATTTTGCCAAGTGTAAGCAAGCGCTAGAAGCTGGCGTCTAGTTAGAGCGCAGAAAAACCGTCTAAGCCAAAAGCTGCTGTTGTTGTCGCAGAGTGTGTGGTGTCGAGGTCAGATGATGGCGTGAGGTCATCTATCAACTTTGATGACGTCAGGTGGGGAAAAAATTAGATTTAGCCTGTGGGGAGGGGGTGCGAAAATGAAGAGGGAGCTAATTTCCTTTTGGTAATTTAGAGGCTTCGGTAGCAATCATCATACTGGCCGAGTGGTCAGCGATAGTCACGTGGTTTTAAAGTGCAGGCCTCTGCTGGTCTGGCTGCAGACGAGACAGGCTCGAGACGAATGGGTCTCGCAAAATTAAAAGCAGCATGCAAGTCTAATAGGAAGAAATATCTTTGTAGAGCGCATATATATATATATATATATATATATATATATATATATATATATATATATATATATATATATATATATATATATATATATATATATATACAATGTACGAGCCATTATAATTTTTTTACATTAGAGTTATTGTTCTACATGATGCACCAAAATGGTCTCTGAAGTTAATAAAATATGGATGTCCAGATATGCTAGTAGAAAATGATTATAAGAGCTAAGTGTGAGGATAAAGCTAGGATTAGTCTTAACATTAAAAATAATATTCATCAGTATTTAACTGGAAAAAAAAGAATGCAAAATAAAATACATATGGCCGCACACACACACACACATAAACACACACACAACACAGCCTTTACGGGTATAAGGCAGATAATTTGGCTTTTGAAACAACCCACTCTTATTTGCGCTAAGGGAAGCAACTGAGAGAGAACCATTGTAACTCAACAGCCAAATGGGTTTCATGGGAAGTAACTCTGGACCGCCACTGCAACTCCATCTCCCATGACTGTAAAGGGGAATAAGCGGGTGAATATTTGCAAGCAAGCTTCACGGGAAACGAAAAAAAAATCTCTATCATCAATCGACCAGAGTCTGATGAAGATGAATCACCGATACGATGACCAGTGCTAAATGACCGTCACTGGTGGCGTCTGTAGCGAAAGCACCCGGATGTTTTATGCATGGTAGTTGAGTGGCAAAATTCATGGCGGCTGTCGTGAAATTGAAATTAATAAAGGATATTTTATAACTTGAAATTTAATTTTCTTTTAAATTACAGAATCACTTAAAAAAAATATTTATAGACAACACTAGTTAGAATCTATTATAAGTAGGCCGATTTAATTTTACTGTAGCTTTAAACTTTAAGTGTTATAAATTTTAAACATTATTTTAAAACAAAAATTATTAAAATAATGAAACAAATATAGATCAAGAATAAAAATACTTACATCCAGATGTATTTCAGAATTTTCTTGTGCTCATACGTTACTTTGTGTGTGTGTGTGTGTGTGTGTGTGTGTGTGGTGTGTGTGGGTGGTGTGTGTGGTGTGTGCGCGTAAGTGTGTGCGTGCGTGCGTGCGTGTGTGTGTATGTGTATCTTTAATTCTCAACACATTAATTGGATGTCACTAATGCGATTTTAAGCTAATTGGTTATTTGCAACGTATGAAGCGTGGATACATAAAAACTAGAAACAAAGACAGTTTTTTTTAAATATCACTGCTTAGGGTGAGAAAACGTTAGAGGGTGATTTATGATTATAATGAACGATTTGGCTTAAAATAGAACAATCTTATCAACTAGCCAAGCGTGACTTGTAGAGAGCAAGAACGTGAAATCAAGCGTGACCAATTCACCCCTCCTACCCAGCGGGTCACTTCACCCCCCCCCACCCCCGCCCTCACACACACACACACTATCTGCATACCCCCTTCCCCCCCCCCCCCCCCCCGCCCCAACCCCTCAACTCTCAAACAAGAACGAGAACCCAGCCTCACCATCAGCCTGGCCGGAGACTTGCCGGAATTGCATTTTCGTGCATCTCGGTGTCGGGCGGACAGGAAACAATGAGCACTCTACATGCAAATTAACGCGGTATCCAGGGGTCAGCCCGCCTGCGTGCAAATCCCTAACTGCTCCTCGGCCTTCCGGAAGCGACTTAAGATACTTGAAGTGGTCAAGGGGTCAATTAATTAAAAGTTAATCCCGCGGCCGCCCCTGGCCCACAATTTGTTACTAATTAAAATTAACGCGAGTTGTAGCCCGTCTATAGTAGCCGGGCGTCCACGTGATAAGGGAACCAATTAATGCCACGGTCCACTAGCCCTTGGCCTCGGCAAGTTTAAGGTCGAATAAAAAAAGGATTGGTACCATTAACATAAATTAACCGAACAAAATAAATCTGAACATAAATCCTAGCTAACACTAAATGGACAGTCTGCTATTAATATTTCATTTAGACTAACCCACAGTAAAAAATAAAAAATCTGTCTTATTCCACTTATGCCAACCCATTGTTTTTTACACAGTAAGTTCAATAGTATTTAAGTCCTAAATTTATTTTGCTTTAAATCTTATAATATAAACAAGTGCGATGGGGGTGATTGGGGGTGGGGTTAAAATATATATTAAATCAGTGGTAAGGGCAAGGGGAGCGGTGGGTTAGAGCCACCCCCATGGACAGCTGTCTGTCTTGATTGAACTCACTTCAAGATGCTAGTTTTCGTGTTGAATATTGAACCACACACAGAGGCGTAGCGAGGGGGCGGGGGGTCCGAACCGCACCGGGTGACACCATTTAGGGGGGTGACACCGAGGCAAAAAATAGCAAAATATATAGAGAAAAACATGAGGGGGTGCAAATCGAAAGATTTTATTAGTGGCGTAGGCAGGGGGTGTTAGGTGGAGTGGGAGCTATAACACCCCATAATGAGCCCCAAAATGATAGTTGCCTCATAGTGTTACAGCTGTTTGCTCGCTTGGCTCTTACCACTGTTTTAACATTTTGAATGGCACATCAAAAAAACCTTTTATTTTATTTTATTAATTTTTTTCTTTTAAAATCTCAATGAATATGATCGTAGGACGTAGGCATAGTCTAATTCAGGGCAACCATATATAATCATAATTAAATATCATAATATTGAAATAAAGGTGTTAGTGGATCTTTTAAAACTGGGATATTTGGGAAATAATAACTTTTGGCTCTTCAGTCCCAAAGGGTCGCCGACCCCTTGTCTAATTGTTTTGTTGTTGGCTGTTGGTGATACTGTCCCTATACTTTTAGGGATCCAAAATTTGCTGAATGGATTGTTTACTGGAATGGTTATTACATAATAGATGTAATTTGAATTTTTAAATTAATCTTTTTTAAAAAGCTAATGTCTTTATGTTAAACTTAACACTATACTTCAATTTTTACCTTCTTAGAAACTATTATTTTTACAAAATATATAAATAAACAACAATCATCTTTTTTATAGTAATAAAACAAAAAATTTTGTTTTATATTTTGATTTTTTAATGTAAGTCTTATTTCCTTTTGGTAATTTTAGTAGTTCGATTATAAGTTCCTTCCCTTTAATACAATGTTTATATTGATTTTGATATCGCCTGCATACTTTTGACTAGCGACTAACTTTTAAAGTTCACTCTAAATTCTAATAATTCCGTGAAATCATCTTAGAGATTATTTACTTAGCTGCTATTTTGCCAGCGATTTAAAATTACACCCGTAGAAAAGATATATGGGAAATTCAGCTTAATTTTTTTTCAGTCGTCTAGTAAGTCACACCAAGGCCAATTAGCTTCAAGCATTGTTAGCTGTGTATCATGAGGGTGTTTGTGTGTGCGTGCGTGTGTGTGTGTGTGTGTGTGTGATGTGTGTGTCCCCAACCACAGATCATCTTCATTTCACCTCTTCAATGTCGCTTCTTTGCATGCAGAACATTTTTCCGTGCTTGCTCAGTCTCCAGCGGATGATTTAGAGATGGGCCTACAGTATGACACGTTTACTTTTTCTCTCAATACACAATAAAGCAGTCTGCGCTTTTCTTTATAGCGATGTATGTAAATAGTCGTGCGTAAAATTATATATAAAGAAAGTTGTTTCGTTTTCTTCTTTTAGTGTATATATTATTAAAATAAAAGCGTGTTACCAGCAGAGGCGTAGCGACCCTTCCCGGCGCCCGGGGACAAACTTTTCGATTTGTACCCCCCCCCTCAAACTTTCGATTTGCACCCCCCCCCCCTCGAGATTTCGATTTGCACCCCCCCCCCCCCCCCCTCAGACTTTCGATTTGCACCCCCTCAACCTTTCAATTTATTTTTCCAACCCATTTTGGCGCCCCTAAGGTCGGCGCCCGGGGACATATGTCCCCCCCCCCCCCGCCCCCCCCCCTCCCTCGCTACGCTACTGGTTACTAGCTGTTACTAGATCTAGATCTAGTAATCTTAAAACTTTAGGCCTAAACTGAAAGTTCTTTATACATTTTAATAATAAATACATTTATTTCTTGCAACATCTAGTCAACTCATTTGCGTAAAAGACGTAAAATAAAATTATATATCTACATCGCAGTACAAAGTAATGAAAATATGAAAAAAAAGTAAACAAATAGGCCACTCAAGAAACTCTACGCATGGGATCGAAATCTTGATTTCAACATTAGAAGTCTAGAATATAATACTATTACAAAAGTTTTTAAATGTGTGGGATATTTTTTTGTTGCTGTTTGTCACACAAAACTCAAGCCACGACCAACCATGTGAACAGTAATATTCATATTGTTAGATCAAGAAACAATGAAACGTTTCACTGCCAATCCTGCTATCCGAGTTCTGAACTCAAAGTTTCAGAATCCGGCGTTGATGATCATGGCCATGGGGCATCTCCTACTTCAGCATCAACAAGTGTAAGTTTTAACTTACTATTTATTATTTAAGCTTTTAAAATTACAATTAATTTGTTAAACTTTAAATTATGTGTGCATAAATCTAGATCTATAAATTCTATCTATAGTGACTACTCACTAGCTAGATCAGTGGTTCCCAACCTTTTTCGAGTGGCGACCCCCTTTTATAAAAAGTAAGTGACCCGCGACCCCCCATAGAATTAAAAAGCCGAAATTAGTATGGAAATTAATAAGCACTAAAATAAGATTTTCTAGTAGACTTTCATAATGAACTACTCTTGATAACTGTTTTAATAGCATGAGTAAAATTGCATACTATTCACTATTCACTAAATCTTCGTGGTTAAGTTTTTATTTTTAAAAAAAATTGTTAACACCAACCTATGTCATTATAATTATCTTAATTTTGTTTTTAATCGAAGAATAGAGTTGAAAATATATTCTCGAAAAGTCAATCAATTTTACGTTTGGGTATGAATGGTGAATACTACACCAAAATTGTGTCTGCAGTTTTTCATCTTACACGGAATCATCCTGCAAATCAAAGAATTCATTTTATAATTCATCGGGAATGCTGGCAACATCAAGGGAAGAAGAGAATGGGTAATGCGTAAATGCAGATTCTTCTTTTTTTCAGCTCATAGAAATAGCAATGCAGTTCGTTTTCAAGAGATTCAAGATGCCCAGAAATCGCTTCTTTCAAAATTGTAATTATCTCACAATCAGATTCATCTACCACACCGCAGAGTTTCTCAAATTTACAATATTTCCAAGATTTGTTTTCTTTACCGATTTTGCAGCTTTGATAAAAATGCCCCGAGATTATCATGGAAAGTTATAATATTCGTTAATTTTCCCTGAAGCTTCAGGTTAAGCTTATCTTGATGTTCGAACACATCTGCTAGGTATGATACTCTCTCCAACCACTCAATGTCGTTTTAAGTATACCAAAAAGTCTTGTTTCCTTTGCAATCCCAAGAACAATTTGATTTCAGATTTCAATTCAAAAACACAATTTACAACATTTCGTTTGACAGCCAGCGTACTGTAGTGTAGAAGAGCAGAACCTCGTGATCTATATTAATATTTTTGCTCAGTTCTTTGAAGGCTCCAGATGTTATATAATTTACGACTTATACTAGCAATGGACTCTTGATGTCGATTGGTTAGGGCAGTGGTTAGGGAGCTAATCTTTTCTGTTTTCTGAAAGCCCGATTTTGAGCTAAACATAGATGGCGCACCATCCGTACAAACCCCCACAGCCGTTCTAACCCATTTTAATCATCCAGTTTCAAAAAAGATATTTATTTTCTCCATGCTATCTTCACAAAAGAGCAACTCTTCTTTGCTATCATCCGCATGAATATAGACACAGACCAGCAACTGCGAACACGAACTCACGTCTGTTGATTTATCAAATTGAAAAGCAGACAATGGTGAAAGCTTAATTTCAATAAAAATGTGTTATTTAACATTTACGTACAGGCAGCGTTTGATGAGATTTTCTCCTATTGTTTTTTTTTTTGTTTTTTTTTTTTTGCTTGGCATTTTCTATCGCGACTTCATTTGATGCTTGCACTAATGCTGGTGAAAACTTCCTGTTCGATCAAGGCTCTGGCGTTTGCAACTAGCTTCTTATCGACGAAAGAACTCCATATATATTTTGGTGTGTTCCGAATGACTCGTCTCAAATGGCGTTTTAGTTTTGAAGATTTCATAGATTCGTGACTGAGAACAACTTTGTACAGTGCGCTTTGTTTCTTCTCTATTACATTTCCAGTGATGTTAATGAAGCCGAATTTCAAAAATTCTTCTAAATATTTATGTTTTGTTTCAAATTACTAAGGTTTAGTATACCAGTTGGCGACCCCCCAGAAAGACCTTCGCGACCCCCCTGGGGGTCGCGACCCCCAGGTTGGGAACCCGTGAGCTAGATGATTAGATCTATATTCAATTCTACTATTACTATCTATATTATAATATTATTCATTAATATTATATTAGGCCTATATAATATATATATATATATATATAATTCTCTTCTGGGAGATGCTAGAAAACAAGCTGTAAGCGCGCTCCCTACCACCCCCACCCCTACATGGTCTGGTGAGCTGTGGTTCATTCTAAATGTTTACATTCGTAGAGCTGGGTTTAGTGACAGCTATTATGGGCAGATAATTTAGTTTGAAACGATTTTAAACTTAGGGGAGGTAACTAAGAGGAGGCTGCTTTCACTTGGGGGGGGGGGTGTAGGGTAGGGGTTGGGGGAAAGGAGGGTGGGGGTAGTATCGTTCTTAACGACCTACTAATAGTGTTTTAAAGCAAATATTTTCAGTGGCAGCATTGGTACTGTCGAAATCACAAATTATGAATTACTAAAAAGTAGAAAATAAAACAACTAAATAGCGGCATATGATATGCCGCGGGTCGGCTAGTATAGTATAATATAGTATATAGGCCTAGTTAATACAGATAGGCTATAAATAATATTGTAGGCCGCTCTACCTATAACTATAATTATCTGGTTTTTCTTGTCATCTATCACCTCATCTTGTTTGCTTTAGATTGGCTCTAGTCTTGATGGGACAGGGATTAACACGATAAATACTTAAATAGTATCTAAAATTGTGGGAGAATTTTTATACCGGTGTCTGATAATGGAATCTTCTTTTAAAAAGGGTTGATAGGTTGATACGCCTAACCCTAATTTCTCACCATAAAATTAATCGAGATTACAATACTACTAACAACCCAACACAGTTATTTTATGGAAGAGTCTATTATTGGACATCGGTATCTAAAATCATCCAAAATGGTTGCCATACTGCTAAAATGTGGCATAACTCTTTATCAATATGAAATGCTTTTAATTACAAATTGTATCATAATTTTTGTTAATTCACAGGGCACTCATCCTGATTGTATAAGGATTCCTCTGCTTGTTAATTCACAGGGCACTCATCCTGATTGTATAAGGATTCCTCTGCTTGAACATCGTGGACCAGATCAATCTCAACATCACGTTTTCCCTCTGTCTAGAAACAGTCAAGGTGTAATGCAAGGTTATGTCCTACATTTACGAGGTATTTTAACACCCCAGCCTGTCACTGATGACGAAGGCAACGCTTTACTGTGGAATGGTGAAATATTTGGTGGCATCCAGGTTTCAATCATCTCTATTGATTAATTTCTCCTAAGTAATTTTAGTAGTCTTCCCCTTATTTTATATTCCAGTTCTGAAAGTTTTAATATTTTTTAAAATCTAAATATAAGATTAGCACTTAAAAGGATCTAAAACAAAATGTCCTACATTAATATTTAGGTTAAAAGTGATGAAAATGATACTCAAGTTCTCTTTGGAATATTGTCTCAATGTACGACTGATGAAATTATTGTAAAAGCATTTAAAGCTATTCAAGGACCATGGGCCTTTGTCTACTGGCAAGTAAGGTTTCTTTAAATACTTTAATGTAACTTACTTAAAATTTTAAAATATTATTTCCTTAGTCAGATGTTAAAAATGTTAGTTTTAATATTAATAAAGTGGGAGTGAGGTCATCTGAACGTTATATTCTTATATAACAGTAATTGTTGGGCTGGCGCTTCCAGTGGAATTGGGTATAGAAATAGCAGTTAAGTTTGTGACAAACACCACTCATTTTTCTAGAATCGCAAAGAGACAAAAAGTTCTTAGAATATGCAGCTTTATGCAAAAGTTGATCGAAACCTATGTATAATATCTAAAACTTGAATATGAAAAATGTATCTAAAACGGTATTCAAGAGAACTTTTACACAGACATACAGACAAGATTTCATAACTGAGTTTTTCCGACTCGGTGCACAATTACAATACTTCCTCTATACTCCTTATACAGAAAAGTAAATATAAATACAATTTTTACAATCACCTATTCCCCTTAGACTTAATTTATTAGGGTGTTTTTTTATATCCTTCAGTTTTTTTTATGACAAGGAATATTGGTGTAATATCCACAGGCAAATGCTAAGAAGCTTTGGTTTGGCAGAGATAAGTACGGCCGAAGAAGTCTCTTATGGCATCATCCATCATCTTTATCAGACCAGTTCATATTATCATCTGTTGCAGTACCAGACATGGTAAATAGTAAAAAATACTTTAACATTTTTACTTTTTGTTTTTAGTTTTCTTTGAATCTGCCCTTAGCCAATGAATTTTTATGCAGTGTCCATGTATGCTTGGTGTGAGATGGATTATTGTGTAGGTTAGGGTAAGCAGGTGAAACAGTTAAGTGAGTTGTGTTAAAGTCACCCACAAAGTGTTGAGTTAAGGGAAAGGCAAGTGTGAGACAAAATAGTTGAATATCGAAGATTATTGACTTCTTGCAGTAATCACAACCTTACAGTTCGATGCAGTTGCATTTGGTTGTTGTTAGAGATGAAAGTATTGATAGTTTGGTGTTTAGATTTAATAAGAAATGGAGTGTTATTTGATAGTGAGAGACACTTTTACAAGCTGTTTGTGCACCTGTCAGATGTCAGTTGCCATAGTAATAACTAATGTGTAAATAAAACAAAAACATTTTGATGAGTAAAATCCTCAATTTGTTTTTCAATGTCATTTGTCACTCAAGTATCACATTCAGTGTCTTTTCTTTGATAACATTTTCCTTGTTGCTCAATTTTAACTAACTGCTTTTGCATTCAGCAACAACTAATGGGTGATCTTTTTAATTAATTTAAAATTAATTAATCACTATTAATTTAAAATGTTTAACCTTTTTTTTTTAAATTCAGGTTTTTTCTGAAATTCCATCAGTTGGCATATTTAACCTGGACTTCTCCTGCGTCGATGTCGTAGAAGAAAACGAAACACCTACACTGACACTCCACCCATGGAAAGGATCCAGGTGGCCGGCTACAGTTCAGAAAGTGGAAGACACTGAAGAAAACAATGTCCTAACATTTTTATACCCTCCTGGGCCCTCATGTCTCCCTGTCATTGTTGACAAGAGATGTCTTCTTGACTGCTGGATACCAGATCTAAATCAGGAAATACCCGGCTCAGATGTACTGACACCAGATCACTGTACATATTGTTGTACAAATGCTGAAGAGATGCTGTTGAATATACTGCAGGAACATACAGAGCTGGATTTGCTGGCTGAGAAACTCATTCACGTCTTGCAGGCAGCTGTCAGTGTCAGAGTAAATGACATCCCAGAACATGTATGTTCAGCTACTAATCATGCATCAGTTAACCTGAATACTGACAAGGAAAATCTTGCTAGATGTACGTTTCAGTTTAATTTTTTTTATTTACTAATTTAATCGTAAATTTTATTTACATCTAAAATTTCATATGTAATAAGAATTTATTATTTAAATCCAACCAAGTGTCATTACATTTTTTTATATATATCATGTTCAGATACAGCGTACTCACAAGCCAAGGTGGCAATTCTCTTTTCTGGTGGATTGGATTCAACTGTTCTGGCTGCTTTAGCTGACAGGTAGGAATTGGTGCTTAGACCAAAAGTAATCTGCTAATTCTGGATCTGTTTAATTGATGGTTTATATTGAACTTGATTAATGAATAGAATTTTCTATAGTGTAAATAACACACCTGGAAAATTACTTGTAAGAGTTTAGGATTTAACTTTTAACAATGTCAAAACTTTCTTTGAGTCAAATGGCCATTTATTATTTAATGTATCTTATTTTTACCATTCCCTACATTTCAAGGGTTAGTGGGGGTAATAGTCAATAGTAACTTGGTGTGCATAGTTTTGTTTCACCATTTTAACAAAAGATTTTTGCATTCATCTTTGGAGTTGTATATTATTATGTCACACAAATAGGGATGATGCGGGGGTTTAAACTTTTGTGATAGAGATGTGGGATATGCAAAACATTATGTTTGTACACATTTCTTTTAAGTCTCTCAATTTTTTAATATAATTCTGTACTAGATGCATCCCAGAAGATGAACCTATCGACCTACTGAATGTTGCATTTGAACAAGCTGCGCCTAGGAAGTGTAACCCTAATCTTAAAAAGAAACAAAAAGATTTCAAGAAAAGAAACAAAACTACAAAAAATCAACACAACTATAACAAATCAATCAATGATGAACTTCCTTCAGCCTCTATCTCTTCATCATCCGGTGTCTGTGCATCAAGTCAGCAGTTTGGGACTACACAGATAAAACATGACATCACTACAAATACGAACTGCCCTGTCATTGATGCTGAGTCACAGCTGGGTAATGTAAAGCTTTCAGATTCATCTGGACTTGCATGCAGTTTCTGTAACAGTACCGTTACAACACAGAGCAAAGCTGATAAATTTGATACCAGTTACACAGAGGTAGGGACAGTTAGCGTGTGTGAAACATGTCATCAGCACCCTAGTCCAAACATCACTTCTCCTAACATCACTGAAGTTAGCTCTCAACATCCTAGTCTAAACATGGCTTCTTCAAACTTCACAGATGAAGTTATACATGAAGGTTCATATGAAGAGCCTCAATCATCTTCCTACGAAGTGCCTGACAGAGTGACTGGTAGAATAGCTCTCTCGGAATTGAACCCCAGGCGACAATGGAATTTTATAGAAGTTAACGTAACACAATCTGAAGTCCAGAGTCTCAGACAGTCTCGCATCCGTCAGCTGATCTACCCCCTTCACACTGTGCTAGACGACAGTATCGGGTGTGCTGTTTGGTTTGCTGCTCGTGGGCAAGGTGTGCTGGCCAATGATAAAAAACAAAAGATAACCAGCCAGGCGAGGGTTAGTAAACTAATGTTTTCTCTTATAATTTACTTCATTAAAACATTTATTGCTTAGATGGTGGTGCTAAAATGGACTGTGTGTAAGAAAGCAAGAGTTAGTGGATACAAGCACAGGAGCAATAACTGGCAATATGTGAGAATTGGTAGATTCCATGCCTTGTTAAAATAATTCCTGGCTTAACATGATTGCTCATTCTGGTTATACAAGTACAAGAGAGTTACTTATTACTCTCTCTAGACTCTTTAAATTTCTGTATTCAAATTGTTTTGTACAATGATATTTTAATCAGATTTATTTAGTGTTTTTAAATAATCATAGAATTTTATTTCAGGATAACTTAAGTAAAAAAAACTGTTTCAAGTTTTGACGTTAACTTTTGTAGGTTATTCTCTGCGGTATGGCTGCCGATGAACAGTTTGCTGGGTACTCTCGTCACCGAGTCACATTTAGCACTAGAGGATGGGCTGGTCTAGTGTCAGAGATCCAAGAAGAAATGTGGAGGATTTCTGCTAGAAACCTTGGACGAGATGACAGGTGCTTGTAGTTTTAGTCTAGCTGCTTTCAATTTATTTCTGTGTAGCTTTATATTTAGAAGCAAAATTACAAATTATTTTTGGATTGAAGAAAATAATCTTTGATTTGATGTTTATTGCAATGTTAGATGAAGCTCATCTGTGACCAAAGCTTCTAGATTTTAAAGCCAACGCATGCTCTATTACTCTTAATTAGAATCAAATAAGGCCTACCTGTTAGATAATAGACACCCTTCACACGTAAGACAACAGTGTGCCTTATTAAACCTTTTCTCATTGTGGAATTCTGATTCAGATGTCAAACATAAGACTGTTACAAACATATCAGTTGGTTATAGGTTGTTTTTATGGTATTTTTAGGATTATTACAGACCATGGAAAAGAAGGCAGGTTTCCATTTTTAGATGAAATTTTCACAGAATTCATTAGCGAGATACCACTGTATAAAAGAGTAAGTGTACAACTTGCTATTTTTTATTACTCTTTTGTAAAAGCAAGTTAGAAATTAAAGCCACGCTTAGTCGAAAAGTTCATAATCGATTGATTTCAAATCTGATTGAGAATTTTCCAAATATTTTTTGTAGATATTTCACGTCCATTAACAGTTGTTTTTTTTACAGTTAATGACCTTTATAATTTTTAGGCTGATTTGAATTTACCTAGAGGTATTGGCGAAAAGCTCTTGTTGAGATTAAGTGCTGTCAAACTTGGGCTGATCAAAACAGCAACACAACCCAAAAGAGCTATCCAGTTTGGCTCAAAAATTGCAAAAATGGACAACAAAAAGGAAAAAGGAACTGATGTTTGTGAAAGGCTTATATAATAGCTTAGAAATATAAGTATGTTCATTTTAAATTTGTCAAACATAATAAAGTTTTAACACTTAAAATTAGTTTGAAAGTTGTTAATTTTATGTGTAAAATTGTTGATGTTATTGTCAAGTTTTAAGAAAGAAACTAATTTTTTAAATAATAAATTGTTGTGGTTTAACAAACTATATACAAGGGAGACAATTAATTTTAGTAATCTAAATTCTATCTTTGACAAGACATCTATTTTGTTAATGTTCAGAATGTAGTAACTATTTCACGAACATGTTTTCATGTCAAATAAAATGCTTTTAAAACCGTGAAATTTTAATATTCAAGCAAAACAGTTATACAAAACTGGATAATTGTTGTTAGTGATATATGAATCATAAAGATTTTTTAAGACTAAGTACAATTAATTGTCAACTTGATTCTGTGTTATGTTGTCCTCTTCATTCTAGAAGATTTTTAATTTATTGCTTTCCAAACCACAAAATGTGGCAAATAAAAACACAATCTGAAATACACAAAAAATTAAGTAGTTTATATGGAACTCCTTCTCATAGCAAAGTTAAAATACCACTATACATTCAGAAACATTAATAGTTATTTCCTGAGTCTAAAGAAAAAAATATTTGCAAGTGGTCATCCCACGGGCGTAGCGACCCTTTCGATTTGCACCCCCCCCCTTGAACTTTTCATTTGCCCCCCCCCCCCCCCACACTCAAACTCAAAAAGGTCGGCGCCCCCCTCGCTACGCCTCTGTCTCATCCTAGAAAACATAAAGTGAGAAAATGTATTTCAATGTTCTTATTTTTAGGGCAGTAAAAATTGTTTTTATACTTGTATTTTGTACATGACTTACTTGACTTAAACCTCTTTACTCCTTGTGGAGCGTAGAGCCTTAACCATAACATTCCATTTCGTCCTGTTAGTGGCTGTTGATTTTGTAACCTCTCAAGACATCCCTGCTGTCTTGAGTTCTTCATGAAAACTCTGCCTCTGGGAGTTCCACTCCAGCACCTGGCGTGTCTCATTCAGTTTCTTCCAGGCATCTCTTCGGTAAAAATTTTTACCGCCCCCCCGAACAAAATTTAATTTATATAATTTATATAGTAAATAAATACTTTTAACAGTGTCCGCCCCCCCCCCCCGAAGAAAGTTTACCGCCCGCCCCGCCCCCCCCCCCCCCCCCCCCCGAAAATTTCAAGTGCCACCCCGGAGAAAAAAGTCTGGAAGAAACACTGGTCTCATTAGAGGGAGCCTTTGGTAGTGTGTGTGCCACCCAGCGCCACTTCCTCCTCAATTGCACTGTCGTTGGCTCCTGCCCTGATCTTCTCCATTTGTCTGCTTTAGGCTCTTTGTCCTGCCACCCCACTTCAAAATACTTACAACATTCTTATTGTAGACTTAATTGTAGCGCTACAAGAGGAAGTTGATACTTTTATATAATAATTCTAATTCTATTATTTTCTATTGTTGTTGAGTCAATACCTTTCACTTAAGACTAAAATAATTTGCTTTATATCCTGGTTAAGTTGATAATGTTGATAATATACTCTTATATAAACCACTCAACTTAAGTATTTTCCTTAAAAACCGGTCTTAAAAATAGTTTAACATCAGCACGCCTGATTAATAAACATTCGCTACTTCATCGTTATCTCACCAAATTAATTTTGAAAATTAGATTTAAAATCAGTCAAAAGATTTAACCATAAACTTTCAGATTCACATACATCATAACATTACTAATTAGAGGCTTGGTTGGGTTAGTAAAGCTAATGGTTGCTAAAAATGAATAATTCCAAGTTCGAACCTCTGCCCATATGAAGCTCGATATCTGAGGACAGAAACCAATCGAGAAAGGAAACTCCAAAATCCCATGTAGTTTGTTGTTGGTTGGATAAAGCCTATAGAAGCAAACCCAAAGAGAAAAGCAGGCTGAAATAGGAGTCAAGGGGTCGAATTAGTGACGGCTATTAGGGGCAGATAATTTAGTTTTTAATAGATTTGAAACTAAGGGGAGGTAATAACAGGTTCTGCTTGATCTTTTCAATGTCGTCTGTAAACTGTCGTCACGGACGACTGCTTTCTCGGGGGTACGTGGGGGGGGGGGGGGAGTGGAAAGTGAGGGTGAGGATAATCGTCCTTCACGAGCTACTGAGCGTGTTTTAAAGCAAAATATTTTTAGTCACAGCATTTGTAGTGTGTCGATTTCACAAATTATGAATAACTAAAAAATAGAAAATAAAACAACTAAATAGAGGCGTATGCTACGTAGCGGGTCAGCTCGTACTTGTAAATTACCAAAAGAAATACAAGTTGTGATGATACTACTGTGTTGTAGGCCCATAATGTATGAATACGAATCAACTAAAGGCATGAGTGAAGTAACATTGCAAGGGGCCTCCGGTTGAAAAATACTGAAAATGGTGTGTATGACCTTGTGGCTAGTACATTGCAAGGACCTATAATAAAGGGATCCTAAATATTCAGTTCTCCGCATACTCCCCGTCATCTAATTCATGCCATATTATTAAGGAGTGGGCCGATCTATCTTTGTGAGGCGATTGGGTTTAAATCGAGGAAAATTGCATGAAATCATGTGTTGTAATAGACACCCCCCACCCCCATTCTTGGATACTTTATTTATCGCAGAGATAATTTCGCCACAGTGGACTATTTTGTAATGTTAGCACTCTCTAACCTGCGAGAACCTGTTCTCTTTAAAAAAAGAAAATCTTTAACCACCTCTAGCAAATCCACATTCGCTCACTTGAACACAACTCATAGCATTATCACACTTGATGATCTTGTCTCACCTAAAACAACACTCAAACACACGTGATACACACATTACAACACACAAAACATCTCTTAAAAGCTTAAAAAAATGGTTTTATGACGATAAAATATAATAGTAATACAGAATTTTAAAATTCTAAAAATTTTAGTATTCCTTTTTTGACAAAGCCCGGTCTACAGTGAGTGCATTAATCAATTATATTTCGATTTACAAAAAAAAAAAAAGCCTTTTATTTTAAAAAAAATATAGCAATGCGAAATGACAGCTAAAACTTTACTTCTAACACAACTTTTTTAACGGAGGGGAGGGGGAGGGTGGATACAGGTTAAAAAAAATTATGTTCTATTTTTCCTCTTTCGCCCATATGTTTTTAATTGCTTGGGGGGGGGGGGGGGTCGTCCATAAATGACGTCACACTCGTAGGGGGGGGTCCTTAATTTTGTGACGGTGTGTGATGAGGGGGGGGGGTTTCAGATGGTGTGACGTCACTTTCTTGCATTATAAAAAAGCTGAGCTAAAAACGAGTTTTAGCCGTTATTTCGCGTTTTAGAAAACGGTTTTAATTAATTGTAATAGGAATTGATCAAAATACTCGATGTTGGTAGAGTTCCAGAGGCGTAGCGAAGGGGCGGGGCCGCGGGGGACGTATGTCCCCGGGCGCCGACCTTAGGGGGGCGCCAAATTGAAAGTTTGAGGGGGGGTGCAAATGAAAAGTTCGAGGGGTGGGTGCAAATCGAAAGTTTGTCCCCGGGCGCCGGGAAGGGTCGCTACGCCTCTGCCGATTTCTGACAAAATTTTGGAAAAATATCGATGTTTTAAAAAAATTTCAACAGCATTTTTGAGGGGGTTGTAGGCTGAGGTGTGACGTCATTTAAAGGGGGGTCTGGCTTTTTGTGACGACGTGTGACGGAGGGGAGGGGGGGGGAGGTAAAAATCGGCAAAAAAAAAGCGTGACTTCATTTATGGATGACCCCTTGATGTATGTGTAGACTATGTCTTGAGTTTCACCCGCTTAGCCAAAATGTAGTAGCTTTTCACTTTATGTTTTCTATAATACAACTTGCCCGCAGAGTAATAAGCTTGGTACCATTTAAAACGTAAATTTTACGCCCTGTAATTCTGTGTAATTTTTTTTATTGTTGTTGATATTACACAATGTCTCATTTGACGATTGGAAACTATCACCGTGCTGATTTTTTTTCCACGGCTGTTGCGCGGCATTTTACCCCTATCCCTTTCATTGTTCAAATCCCGGTTGTTGTTTTCAAAGTACTTCTTTATTCTTTACAAATAACTGTAAAATATGCAGACTTAAATAGCCTTTATTGTATGCTAAACAAAAAAAGTTACATGACATTTTCTTGTTTTAAAAACTAAGCAATTTAAAAATAACTGATTTTGACAACATAAAATATTTGTATTAACTTTTTCCAAATGGTCAACATTTCTTCTTCTTTTAAAACACACCATAGCTATCACTAAAATTAAAAAAATAAAATCGCTCTAGATCTAGACACCGGCAGTCCAGTATACTGTTGGCCCTGGTGTCAAAATTTACTTATCGTAATTTAAAAAAAAAAAAAAAAGCTCTTTTGTCTGATTGTGAACCCCCGCACTCTTTTGATTAAACTTCAACGTATGTTTCACTTTCAGGCGCAAGCCTTATTCAGAGACATACTGTCCCCCTATATTTTAATAAAACTATCATGTGAGGTTTTTATCAGAAAATTTTTGCGATTTTTTTTTTCCAAATGGTCACATTTGTGTTCTTTACTTCACTTTTTAATTTTGTTAAAAAGTGAGAAAAGCAACCAATTAAAAAATTTAAATTACATAGACTACTTTTTTTAGGTTTGAAAAATTAGGTGTTTTCTGTGTGTGTGTTTGTGATGAGTGAGTTCAGATATATATGAATAAATTTGGTATCCACGATCTTAGAATCTCGAGTTCTTCGCAAAACAATTTTTAAAAAAGCTCTGGGTTTTTTTTTTAAAGTTCTGTTTGTCAAAGCATACTACTTAGATCTAATAGATTTTTTAAAATGATATTTTCGTGCCCTTTTTACTGCAACTTTTTATATATCTTTGAATCAAGAGGAACCAGAATGAACCAGCTTTATACGAACTTCCGACCTAGACCTAGAAGACAGCATTGCCAAATTGGCATTAGCTCTTTGTTGTACACTCAAATAAAAACAATTGCTACCTAGGACCTAGGCTACCGGCTACCATATTCTTTGTTTATATTCTAAATTTTTTACATCTTTTAAAACAAATATTCATCAGATTTTAATATTATTGGCAGACTTTGGTCACACACCTAAGAGTAAAAATGATAATTGATATCTTTCACTTCGATAGAATTGGTGAATACGTAACACCATTTCGGACGTAGCTGACGATGTGCCTTGTTGAACGAGAAAGGGGAGGGGGAGGGCAAAACGATTAAACTTGAAAGATGTCATTTATAAACGCCCCTTAGAGCTTTTGGACAAGGAAATGTTTGAGGTTTTGTTATTAAATAGGTCTGTTGAGTCTGTTGTTTCAAATGTTTGTTTTTTTGTTGTTGTTGAATAAGCAGGGTATTGCTTAAAGAAAAATACCAATCAAACTGAAGAAAAATATTCAGAGAGAGAAAATAGAGTAACCTATGCCCATGCTTTACAAATAAACTTACAGAGAGAAAAATTAAAATCATAACAATAGTCCTGACAAAAAATATATTTAACACACAATTCTAAATAATGATCTGGTCCCTTTTAGTGAACAAGGATGACCACTAGCGTACATAAAACCCTGCCTTTTCCTAGTAATTCATTAGTGACCCAGAGTTTTTGAAGGTACCCTATATCTGATTTGAGAGGAAAGCAGGTAGATATGTAGTTTAGACTCTTGTATTTTAATTTTACATTTTTATTTTTTCTGAAATTGACATCTAGATCTATTCATAGAGTAAATATTGTAGGCCTATCACGGTACACCAAAGTATCGCGGCTAAGCCAGCCAAATGTTTTTTTTCGCCTAACGAGCTGAAGTAGCTCAATATGACTCAATATGTGATGAATGCCTACTGCCTGGCGGCCTAGCTTGAACTTTATTTTAATCAATCTAGATTTAGATCTAGGTTTCTTAAGTAGATTGACTAGTTTCTAGATCTAGAATCTAGCTAGCAGATAAACTAGAGAACACAAAAATCTAGATCTAGATTTTTCTAGTTAACTCTAATTTCTTGACTATTTTCAACTATTTTGACCAACTAATCTAAAACTAATTGGCAATGGAGTTATTATTTTTAGGCCCTATCTGTCAAGAGTAAAAACAATGGTAGGGGGGCCTAGTAAATTATCTTGGCTCTTTTTGTAGCCTAATCAGTTTTAAACATAAATTTTTAAATAGATCTAGATCTAGATTCTATTAAAGCTAGTTTAATTTGCTTAGTAACTTAATGTTAAAGGATCAGAGTTTACAGCTGAGTAATTTATCTCAAAACTGGCTAGCTTAGTTTTCAGTTTCTTTTAAGCTTCTCATGCAATTATTTATACAGCTTTGAATATGAAATTGTCCTTAAAATTGCACTGGCAGTGGCAGTTCTGTTTTTTTAAGCATAGACTGATGAATTCCTCTACAAAAACCTTGTTTTCAAAACTTAAAAGTTTAAAGCTTACTAAATTTTTTAGAAATTACAATTGAACCTATTCTTTTGTAAAGTTTACCATACTGCTAAAGTTAGCAAATATCTAATGCTTGAAATGGCTTCAAAACTTAGGTAAACTGTTTTTTCAGCCACGGGATGCTCATAAAGTTTGCTTTACATTGAGCAGACTTTTTTAACTTGAATGGGGTACTCTCAACAAACCATTTTTTTAAATCTAATTATTAGAAAGCCAGATAACTTTCTTGCATTTTCTTGCAAATGAAGTAGTGAGACTACCTTTTTTTCCCCCCTTCATACTGGTAACCTTCCTTTTTGTTTAAAGACAAACATGAATTTTATTTTTAAAATCTCACATTTTATCAAAATTGCTCATGATTGGAAGTTTATATTAGCAGGGATTTGTCTTAAAGATAGTAACTGACACGTGCACTCTTTTCTTGTCTAGGTTATATTTTTAATTCTAAGCAGTTTCAAGTTACAATTACTGAGTTTTCACCTTAGTTTTAGTTAAAATACTTGGACAGACAATTTGAAGCTCAAATCACGTAAGGCTTTCTTGAAATTGGCTGACCTTAAATCTTTTTTTCTTTATTCCTTTCCCAACATGACATTTATTATGAAAGCCTTTTGCAATGTTTCTCAATTACTGGTACCCAGTTAAAATGGTTAGATTGGTCTAAATATAACTAATCAACATATACTACTTTGTGACGGGACTTTCACTCATAATCATTTTGATTTGCAATATGCAAACAGCATACCCAGTATCCTGACCCATGCAAGTTTTGCATCAGTGGCGAGTTGACTTACAGACTTGTAGTAATAGGATGCTTGATCAAATAAATTTAAAGTCATTTAAAGTGCTCAACCATGCAATCTCAGTAGTGCATTGGGGATAGTTACTCTTCTGCTACTGATTTTTTTTGTAACAAGATACACTTAGTTACCATTTTTTTTACAGAATCCTTTTTTTTTTCAGCCACAAGTAAAACAGTAACCGTAACATGTGGAACAGTGCATCTGATGAAATTGTAAGGTGATATTAAATCTCATAGGTTCCTGTTGCTACCATACAGAGCTAGACAATTTTTTCAACAACCTTTCATAATCTCTGTAAATCAAAGTACCCAAAGACATGTCGCTTGAAGGAAAGGGCTCTGACAGTGCCATGAAAAGCATTCAAAATGTTGAGAACTCAAAGTTCACAGCCCCGGCACAGAGTATACAGCAAGATTGTGGTGAAGCAGCTAAGGTGTCAGGCTTTAGCTTTAAGTCCTACACCAAGCAGTTTGGAAGCTGGCTGACAAGTTTGACGGAAGGGGAGAGAATTGATGTCTCTACCAAAGATTTGAACGCCATTGCACCTGTGTCATTTTGATATTTTTTCTTCACAATTATTTTCTTTTGTTACTTGTTGTACACTGTGAATGTAAATGGTAGTAGTGGACTTGTAGATATTTGAGAGTGGGTATACAAGCTTAACATAAAATACTGGTATTGATGAGTTTACAATCATTTCTGATTTCATTTCTTTTTCATTTTAATGTTTCATATAATACAAATGTTTGCAATGCAGCTATTTCCTGAAATTTCATGTGTACATTTTCTCATGTTTATTTACTATGCGCATTCTAAAATGAACAAGTCCAACGCAGTAACTTTATTCTGTGAGTGATTCTATGCCATTTAAAACAAAACTATTGTTTACTTTATTCAGCAGATCTTTCATTTTTTTTATAACTGTGGCCCCATGTGTATATAAAATGTTGCAATGCAGATGAGACCAGGTCAAATTGATGTGATTTGTGCTGGTATTTTTGCTATTTATTAATTTATTAATAATCATTGTAATTCTCCATTCATCAGTCATACAGGTTCAGTTCCTCAGGACTTGTTTAGTTCATCCATCTTGTATAAACCAATGTTGAATATAAACTAGTGCTAATCCAATAAGTAAAGAATAAATAAATGTTGACCCTTCTTAAATGCTGAGAGGGGGAAAATTTCAGGAATGTTGTTGAAATTGTAAACATTGGATTTGTGGTTTCAAGTTAATGACTCAGAAACATTTGAGAAATTGTAATTTATGTGTGGTTTCAAGTTAACGACTCAGAAACGTTTAGTTCAAGAAAATAACTTTGTTTTTTGGTTTCAAGTTAATCATGACTCAGAAACTTAACTTAGTTATTTTTTTTCTTCATTTTCTTTTAAATGTACTTGTAAATTTTTTCTTGGACAATTTCCTTTCAGTTTATGTTGTAAACATGTTGCCCATGGCATGAATATTCTCACTGAAGATCTGAATTTCTAGTCGTATTACACCTTTGTCCATTTTTGAAATAACAGAACAAATTTAAATATTTTACTTTGTTGTCCTGAAAATGCAATTGCTGTACAAATAGTATATTACTTGAATATATATTTATATACCGGTAACAAGGATCTACATCCTATTAATGAATTTTTGTTCCACCTCCTCTGCATTTAATTTACAGTTGCCATTCTCTAATGTAAGATTTCTCTGAAAGTGAAATCTTGATCTACTGGTATTCTTGTACATTTACTAAAATCCATTTATAATGAAATTATGGTAGTTTTTTAGTTTTGTTCTTTACTAATGTTAATTGAACTATTTAATGTGAATATCATGCAATAAATAATGCAACAACAAATAGTTTTACTGTACTTGTACTGGTAATTTAATAATTATTTAAATCAAATTTAACTGTAAGGCTGCACTAGGCTTTGAACAGTTCACCAGTGCTAATAGTTTTATCCTGACTTGTTTGTATTCAAATGCCTGGCTAGTTCCTAGGGCATACTAAAATTCACCTAATGCTGTAAAATCATACTGTGGAATTGGAACTGACCACCCTTTAACTACAAATCTTTTCTAATGAACTTTGTGGCCAGTATTAAAAATGGCTTCAGTGACCAATATTCCAGTTACATGTAGGAATGTTTCAAAATCATTGGTACAGCACAGAAAATGCAAGACAGAATATCATTTGAGTGAATGATCAATAAATATTCCATATGTCTTTAGCATCAATCTACAACTTAAAAATCATTTTTAAAGATTTGTAGAATTTACTCTTGGGAAGAGTATTGCAAATTACCAGTGTTTTATATAGGTGTGGGTAGTGTAGTAAAGTAGTAAGCCTTGCATGCTGGTTACATAAAATGCTGATGACATTTTAAAAAAGTGTAAATACTGTGTTAATATGCAGTGAACTGAAAATTATGTGTTTAGGTTGAATATTTCTTTTTAAATAGAGATGGATTTTACTTTTTAAACATTTATGAAGCTAACATCACAGTTAAAGCTTTGATTGGTGCTCCAACAGAAATGTTATACTTCATTTTACATGTTACAACATGACAACAGTGTAAAGCTAAAAACCTTATATTACAAAATTATAGTATATATACTAAAAATATAGATACAAATATTGAGCATATTATTAAAGATATTGGACATCTACTTTTACATTGCTGGTCCTTTCAAATGTCAAGGTCTAGATTGTCATACTCCAAATCATCTACATCACTAAGATCAAGGTCACTGAAATCAAGGTCTTCATCTGTAAATGGGAGGGGGGGGGAAATATCAAATTATTTGTCAGTTTTACCAATTGTTCAATATTTGGTAACAAAATAAAGAGTCGCTCATCTATTTTTTATTTCTAACCTATTTACCTAATAGATATGACTACAAATAATTGCACTTCATATAGGCCTACTGCCAAGTATAATTTTAGACGTTACTTCAAAACCTAAAAAACTTCTACTTTTAAAAGATGAATATTTTTAAACAAAAATGAACTATGGACACTAAAATAATTGACTAGATTATTTTTTTTTGTGCTATCCTACTGGGAGACTGTAACTTTTTGAAATGTATTAGAATATTAGAGGAGACATACGCCTATTTAACATTTGCAATTTCACATACCCAAATAGACCTCAACCCCACTACCTCAAACGATTAAAAAAAATCAACTTATATGTAGATGAACTGATTTTTTTAATCCTGGTATTAGTTAATTATCAACATAAAAATATAGAGAGAGAATTTCAAATGTTGCTTTTATTACTGAATTTATTCTTAAATTCAAATAAAATACAGAGATCCTACCTTTTCTTCTATAGTTCTTTTTGTACAAACTCCTAGTTTTGGTGGCAGAATTTGGTCGACTAAAGGAAATTCTTCTTGGTCTGTTCTTGTGCACGTCAAACTCACCATCTAGTTCCAAATCACTACAACTGGAGACATCAGATAGGCTAAGATCATCTAACAAACTGTTCCTAGATGTTCTTCTACCAGGGGTGCTAGTGGTTGATTTGTAGGATGTATACGGACGACCTGTTGAGTATAAGTATACTTGTAAAATTATATCAACACTCAAGTAATGTTTCTTAGACATATTTCGTCTTTTATTGATAAAATAATGTTAGAGAAATGTAAAAATTAAACTATTTTTATTTCTACTTAACTGTGTAAACATAGTAAAAGTTCCTTATATTACTTGAACAGCATGATATCTCAAGAGGTGAGATATTAAAATGTAAATATTTACCTAAACAATATGGAATTTTCAAAAACCAAACAAGCTAAATTTACCATATGAGTCATTCATAAAGGATGTCACAATCCTTGGGGGGAAGGGTTTCTTAACTTTGTTGCAATGAGAGATGAGTGGTGGGGGGGGGGGGGGGATTGTTCAGATAGGGATGTCACAAACTATTGCATTTGAAAAAATAATGTTAGAAGTAGAAGCTTAATTTTAGCTCTTATGTTGTGTTTTTGAAAATTGGTTTTATAAATTGTAATTAATAATCTATGTTGACAGTGTTCAGCCAAATTTTTTTTTTAAAGAAATCAACATTTAAAAAAATTAAACAGCAACTTTGAGGAGTATTGTAGGCTGATGTATGATGTTGAGGGAGGTAAAAATCATCAAAGCATGACATTGTTTATAGATGACTCACTGCTGCACTTGAATAAAAAATTAAATAACAAATGTATGCATTCTAATTATTATACCTGAGCGGTATGATGAGCCAGCAACAACGGATGCATCTAGTTTTTTCTCCAGGCTGTCCAGCTTTGCACTCACAGAACTCACTGCCATTCTGTAAAAATTAGCATTTTACAGTCTACATTTGCTTCAAGTATATATAAATTATTATAGTTATAGTTTTGAAAGATTAAATTAAAAATTAAAACCTGAGTTGTTGTACATCTGAACTGTTATAGTGGAGAGGTACTGGCAATGGAGAATATAAAGGCAATGTTTTTTTACTTCTGCTTTGGTAATTCTGAAAAAAAAAATTAGTATTTGCTTATTTTCATTGTACAGATTATGAGAGAACAGAAGATTGTAATAACTTATCTTAATTCATTTACCTTTGATAATGTGTCCAGTTTTTCAACATTTTCTGACACAGTTTGAGATTCCATTCTATCTGTAAAAGAAATTGAATATTCAAAAAACAAATAGATTTAATACAATTTTTCGTTTCATGAAACAAAACAAGGATTGGCTCATTGTAACCTTACTCTGAAGTAAAATCTGAATCAATCGAAAAAAAATTATTAAAATGTACTTTATTTACCAATCCTCTTATTCATTAGTGTTAATTCTTGTCTTACTTGATCAAGTCCCTGAGAAAAATTTTCTTTGCTGTCAAAAATAAATTAAAATTTCTAATTAATTAAAATATGACAGAAATACAAAAGCTTTAAAATTTAAACAATAATAATTAGTATAAAATGTTACAAAACTCACACTGCCCAGAAATCTGCATCAAAAGCTGGAGTCACTGGTAATATTTGCTTTCTTCCTTGCTTTGTGACATTATGTAGCATTGTCTTTACTTTTTCTATTTCATGCATTACTTCCCTTTTAATGCTTGACATCTGCCACTCATTGTTGGCAAATTTTAGAGCACTGCTCATTTTGTCTGTTAGTGTCTCTACTTCACCTAAAATTGTTAAACATATTTTTAGTAATACACTTTTTCAAAATGTATAATTTAGTAAACTATTTAATTCTGTTGCTTGCTAAAACTGCTGTGTACCTTTCAAATGAGAAATTTGCTGCTTGTAAAAGTCTCTTTCATTGTCCAGTGATCTAACTAGTTTCTGCAGCTTTTCAATTGTCTGTAAAAACAAAAGACTCTATGTAGCACAGTCATAGATATAAGTTCTATTAAATAAAAATTACACGAAAAGAAATATATAAAAATAAGTTTAGCATAAATTTTTTATTATTGCATTTGTGAGATGAGAGTTATGTTTAATGGGTTTTTTTTAATGTAAACTAATATTTTGTGGATGATGTTTATACTTCAGGTTCATGTTTTTAAAACCTATATTTAAAATACATATTTTTACCAGGCTAATAATGTTAATGGAATTTTGTTTAACAGGCACAGATTAATAAATTAAAAAACATTTTTTTTTTAAAACTAGCTGTACTTTGTTGTCTAAAACATTTTGTTGACAGAAAATAATTGTAACTTTCTATCATCTGAAACCCCAGTGGAGAGATCCTGCATCATATTTAATGCTTTTAACAACAAAAACAAAAAAAAAGTGTCTACAGCTTCTAAAAGGAACTTTGGTGCTAAACATTATTTAAGTATAAGTTATAATAGGTGGAAATATTGACTTATCATATTTTCTATATGCCTACAACTTGTTTATCTTAATTTTTTTTTTTGACAGCTAGACATAGAACAGAACTTTTTTTGTAAGTAGGTCTAATCTACAGCCCTCTTTTATCTATATTATATGATGAGAATGGTTCAAAAATACTAATTCTTTGTGACTCAATATATAAATTGAAGATACAATATATAACTCAATATATAAATTGAAGATACATACTCTATTTTGAGTATTTATTTGCTCTTGCATGTGTTGCACCTGATATCCACTGATGGAAGTCATTTTTACATTGGAATTTTCAAATGGAGTCAAATATGTTTGATCTGCTGAACGCTCCTTTAAGTATGATGAATTTAGCATAGAGTCAAAATTTTGGCTGGATAAAATGGGTGGCACAGAGAGGGTTGGTCTTGTGAAAGTTTTTCTTTGATCTAAAGTGTTCAATGGACCAGGCCTAATGATCAGTTTATCCTGTGGGTATATTGAAATGTACAATTTAAAAAACAAAATTACAATCATAATGACAAACCTTGTGTGGTTTGTTATTTTAAATATCTTTAAAAAAATATTATAAAAATGTAAATAAAACAGTAAAAGTAAACAAAGAAGATGAAGTACAGTTCATCTGTTTCTCTGATTCAGCTTTTAAACATGATACTGTGGTCAGCTTTCTTTACTTTCCTTGACTAGATAGGTACTCATGAAAGCAGGGTGAATACAAAAATGTCCTGCAAATTTCTGAACTGGGTTGGTGTTTAGGAAACTAGTGAACAATTTACAATATATTTTAAAATGAGAATTTAGCATTAATAAAATGTGTGATCTTTTTAGCTATTTTGATTTGTAAAGTGGAGTATGGCAAACTAGGATTACATAAAAGAGGACAAAGGATGGATTTTAAGTTTGAGCAAAGTTCATTAACTTTTCAAAGACTCACTAAATATCATATTTGTTCTAGCTCAATCAGTATCTGCTGATTTTGGTAGCGTAGATAACTTATAGAAAATGTAAAACATAAATTAAAATATGATTACCTTGGCTTTAGTTAAATTTTCATCCGTCTCTTTCACTATAGAATAGAATGTTGTCTCCCAGTCCATTGGCAATAGTCAAAAAATACTTGGAGTAATATGAAATGTTCTGTTAATCATTTTATAGTTTATATTATTTTATAATGCCTAAACTTCTAAACTGAGTGTGATGATGCAAGTTATATGTTATAAATAGTTTAGAGGTCAAACAGAAGAAAGGAGAAACAACATAGGGTAGTCAGGTAGATCAGTAGAGTTGCTAGAGATGCCGTGACGTGCGGCGGTCAGTTAAGCATTGACTTATAGGCAGCAGTTAGAGATAGGTAGCGCTAGAGAGGAGTTGGTCAAGAGAGAGTGTTGTCACAGTTGACCAATGGAGCATGTAGACAGTTGAAATGTAGAAATTGTCTAGTGTTCGAGTTGGTCATGGGAATGTGTTGGGAGAAGTCAAGTGTTAGTTGCAGTTAGATAGTGTTAGTAGACAGTCACGTGTTAGAAAGAAGTTATAGCCTAGTAGGAGTGGAAGGCTGATGTATAAATAAATGTATATATAAAGAACTGTAGTATATCTTGAATTAGACTCGTGTGTTTGATTCGACACAATGTCAGGCATACATAAGAAGAGGCGATCCCCAGAGTTGAATATATTATGGTATACCAATGACCAATATACATATAAATCTAAGTCCTAAGTCATATATCTAAAAATAACTCTCCCCTCACACTGAGTTATACAGAATACTACAATTTTAAAAAATAAGTACAATAATTCTACAAGGTTTAGGTCTTATTTATTTAATTCAATTATTGTTAATTGTAATATAAAAAATAACATTTTTTGAAAATACATAAGATTATCATATTCATAAGATTAAGATACTAGATCTAGATTAGTTAGATAGATCTAGATCTAGTAGAGGGTAGATCTACACTTAGTCTACATGGGCTTAACTATAAAATTAAATGATTTAAAAGGGGTAAGGAACTATTATAATGGTGTTTTTGAAATAACAGAATATTTTAATTTTAAAAATCCATAATTCAAGCTATTAGGCCTATCTACTGTATCTAAATCTACTTCTAAGTTCTAAGACTATAACTGATAACTAGAATGTATGTAGATTTAGTATGTAGTATGTAGATTGAAATTCTAGACTACCTAGCTGGAGCTGTAGCTAGCTAGTGGCTAGTAAGAAGTAGTAGTACTAGTAGCTGCTAGTGCTAGAGTTTTAGTTCAGAGATCTAAATAATAACACTAAAAAATAGTTACGCCTACTTTTCAGCGCCTCGTTTTTGTTGATTACTCTTCATTTCATAATATTTATATGATTATATCTATAAAACAGTAGGATTTGTATTTTAAAATGCAGGTTTTGGCTTGTCCAAAATACTGAAAATATTCTGATTTAAGTTAATTCCCCTGTCGCTATCCAAGCTTTGGTGTTCGACAGGGAGATCACTAGCAAATCAGACTACTAGGTGTTAAACTTTATTGACTGAAGAGCACATAAGTCACAGTGACAGTAGGCTACGCACATTCACTATGACTTAAAGCCCGCAAAAGCAATGCCAAAACGCGAAATAGAATCTAGATTCTATTCATTCTTGTGACTCAACTACCTACAATATATTCTAGTTTATTACCTTTTTATATTTATTAACTTAGACAAGTTAGAGTCTTAGACTGTAGATTTAAATCTAGAATTATTCTAGAATCTAATCTAGATTCTAGAACTACATTAAAAAAAATTACACTTGACTACACTACAACACAGTTAGTACACAGTACTTAACTTGACTTAACTAGTGTACACTACACTGTCACTAGTACAGTAGTAGTACTACAGTTACAGACTACAGTTTAGTTTTAGCTCCTACTCGAGCCTACTCAGACCGAGCTACTCCTCTGCTATAACAAAACTAGACATTGGTACCCGTTACACATGAATATAGGCCTATAGACTATATAATTTTAATGTTATAGGCCTACTTCTTTGAGAAAAATATTTTATAAAACAGTTATTTGTTTTTACTACTCATTGAACGATATAAATTATAATATTAGTGACAAAGCAAAGAAGTAACTAATAACGAAAATAGCTAAAAATATGACATATTCAAAATAACATAGGCTATTAATTCCTTTTAGAAACACAAAATTATATACATTATTATTAACACCAAAAACAGTTATTTTAAGAGATCATAGAAATTTAAAATAAACTATAAAACTCTGTGCCGACTAATTAGAAAATAATATAAATAATCTTAAAATGAATCTATTCTAATTATGAGCCTTAACAAACAATCATCAATGCGGTAGGAATAAATAATTTTTTTAAACTTAGGCCTAAATACTTTAATAGTAATATTTAGCGTGAGTTGAGTTTCTGTTTAAATTACCTCCCCTGGCATAATTATTAAACATTTTATTGGGTTAGTTTTATTCGACACTATTTTTATTGAAATAAATACATTTTTTCTAGGAATATAAGCGAAAATGTTATTTGACATTGATCCTTTTAATATGTTATAGCAATGTGCATGTAATTAATACACTCTTCATGTTCTTTTGTTGAAGTATGCAAAGAGTAAAAACTTTTCAGAGTATGAAAAAATTTTAGTTGTTACTTAAGCAGACCGTACTCCCTTATTATAAGACAGTGCGATGCAAGTAAAATTACAGCATGTGGTGTTTACTTTTATGGTTCCAAAATCTATAGCCATGACAGAAGGAAGGAAAGACGTACTGACACACTACCTGGCCGATTATATTGTAGATTTACTAATAATCTATACTATTCTATAGGCCTACTCTATACTATAAATCCATTCTATATATAGTATTATACAGGCCTATATAAAATTAAATATAGGCCTATATAATATATATACAGAGAGGTATGGAGATCTAGACCACAATGATTATATGAGAACTAGAGGAAGGCATTCTATAATAATTTTCTAGTATTCTTTTTCTAATTCTAGGCCTTTCCAGTAGTATCCAGTAAAATTGCTAAAATTAGTAGGCTAAAAGTGGTTAAAACTAGCTAACAAAATCAAATGTCTCAAATTCGAGTCGGAATCTTGTCTAGAATTCTTACAAATTTAAAAAACACATTTTTTATAGCAAAGTCAAAGGCCAAGTTTGTTGGTTCTGATCAATTTGGCAATCGGTATTTTGAGAAAGCTGGCGGTGAGTACAAGTTATGTCATACAAAATTTGAACTAAATGTCTGCATGGTATTGGTGATATTGGAAATTCCCACTGACTCATGACACCCGTGTCTAGACTGATTCTAATTGTTTCTAATAATAGAAACTATATCAATCTAGGCTAAAAGATTTACTAATATTACAAAACATGATCAGCACCGACATCCACTTTTCATTGTTGTTTTTTTTTTATTAAAAAAAATGTTTCTGAGCCTAATTATTGAGTAAAGAAAATGTGAAATTTATGTTTTTGTATAGAGATTAAAATTACAAACAGTAAGTTTTTATTGTTATAACTTCATGCTATATCCTATGTATACAAATTTTCTTCACAAGACACTTGACCCACATAGCGTGGTTGTTTATTTAAAAATATAATACCAACATTATTTTTCTTGAGGATTTATTTAAAAATAAAATTCCTTTATTATATATCTGTAGATGATGAACACAGCATGCGAGCTTCAAGGTTTATTGAGAAAAAGCCTGGACAAGACTACTCAGATATTCCTCAAATTCCTGTTGAATGGCATGGTAAATATCTTTTATTTTGAACATGAACTGTACTTATTTGTTTGTCATTTCATACTAGGATTGTGGTTAAATCAGGGCGTTAAATTGACATTCATATTGGTCCGATCACAAAATTTTATTAAATGAATGCTGAACGCTGCTGTATTTATATGAGTAGTTTAAAAGCTTCCCCACTCCCCCAATGCCTTTCTTCAACACTAGTTAGCCCTAAATAAATAAATCTAAATAAATAATATATATATATATATATATATATATATATATATATATATATATATATATATATATATATATATATATATATATATATATATATATATATATTCCTTACAATGTATAAAAAACGGTATTTGCACCACAGCTCGTTTTAACTGTTGAATTTGTACTTCTAAGTTTTAAAATCTGAAATAATTTTCTTATTCTGTGTCATTTAACATTTTAAGCTCGCAGGGGATTTCTTTTAACTTTTTTTTCATTATCTTTGTTCAAGAATTATCAAAGACACCAGGATACAATCCAATTTTTTTTAATGCAAACAATTTTCTCCTATGCTGAGTACATATAGCTTTGCTAACGGATATGACAAATATGCTGTTGTAGAAAAGTTGTTTTTTTTGTGTTTTAATAGTACATAACATCCCAAGCACATTCACTTTATTTTACTCTTATAAATTGTGATTTAATTTTCAAAGCCTGGTTGAGAGGTCGCAGGACAGATCCACCAACTCCAGAGGTAAGGAAATCTGATGTTAAATGCTAACAGCCATCAAATTTACTTTTTACTTAATGTCTAATGCTACCAAGTAACATTATTACTACCATAAAACTGTTTAATTTCATGGTTTACGTAATTTTTTTTAGATTAATCCAAATTTACACCTTATCTGCAGGAAATTGAAAAGAACAATGCTAAAAACATGCAGACAAAACTCAGAGCTCAAGAACTGGAAAAAAAATTTGCCAAGGTATTAGTTTAACAGTTTTTCTTCTCATTGCCATGATTAAGATAACATCAGCTGCAAACATGAGTTCATCATCTACTGATGTAAAGTTTTAACTTATATTAGTATTAGGATCAATTCTGTTTATTGATGCACTTATTAATCCAAGTGATTGATATACCTAAAAATAGAGATGTACACCAACTGCAGGACAGAATGACTATAAATTCAAAAGTTTCAAGTTTAGTTCAGTCTCAAGTTTTATCATGTCTCATGGGTACCTCACTGACATGTGTAGGGAAAGTAAATGTAGCTGGGCATAGTGTTAACACTATCATATGACAAGGAAACAGATATACTCTGCTTCAGCCAACTTACTGACTTCAATCTAATAGCAATAGTGAAGGCTCACCTAGTATGTTTGCTTAACACACAAACTTTAAAAAAATAATTTAAAATTTGAATTTTAGTTTGATAACATATTAATATATTTTTTATCATTAGAAAACTTCTAATAAATTTTTGTTTCAAATCTTTTTTTTTTAACATTCCACAGCAAAACCTTTCATCAGATTCTGGTTCCCAAGCCATCACAGAGGACATCAAGCCTCCACAAACACAGCGTAAGTCAACTTGGTTGTAGATTCCAGTCATTCTTGTTTTGTCTTATTCTTTGCCAGTTAACTCTATTTATCCACCACCATGTAGCACATTGTGTCTGTTTTATTTTAATAAACCTCTGATTTTTTGTTAACAATGTACTTTTCACAGACTCATTTCCCGTTTATGAAGAGTATGAATATAAACCTGGCCAAAAGTATAACAAAGATGGTAGCAGTATCAATTGAATTTCTGTTTGGACGGAAAATTGTGTGTACATTGTTTAGGTACTTTTCCTCATCATAGAGTACAAGACTGACAGCTACATGTGTACTGATTTAAAAGTCTTTACTAGCCTTTCACCTCTTTTCTATAGATAGTTGATAATTATAATTATAAAGAAACTTGCAATATTTATGGATATTATACGGAAGAAAATTTAATACTAACATTATGTCTGTCTGTCTTTTCTTTCATTCTATCTATTAATTTCAGATTAAGAGTTCTATATTTAGCCTGCTAAGCCTACAACATTGTGATTAAGTCAATACAGTACCTAGTTATTTGGAATAACCCTTATGAGCATTAGATTTCAGACTCGTGTATATAATTTTGTATAGTTGGAAAATAAACTTTCAAAATTTCTCTGACATTCTCGTGATTTGGTTCTGTATGAAGGGTGATAAATGCTGTCTTTCTTTATTTATATGGATGGTTATTGACTTTATTATTTTAAACATGGGGTCTTGTCTATTTATGATGTATAAGAAAAAATCTGGATTTAGCACCCTATTTAAAAATATTAATCTTGTGTGACATACAAAAAGTAATGTAAGAATGAAGAAATCCATTAAAAATGTATTTATTCAGCAATAACTGAGTCATTTTGCTCCCATCTAGTCTATTTCCACTGTTACAGAAGTGAACTATGATCTCATTTATACACAAGTTCTTACAATCATATGCTAACAAGTATTTACAAGTTATAGACTTTAAAAAATTAGTCCTAACTCAAATTGGCTATGTTTGAGTAGTATGTAGTACTTAAAATTAACAACATAACATGAATGGGCTTTCATTTAAATTTGAACCCCTAGTCCAATCTGCCTGTTATTAAAAAAAACATTCCTCCACCAACCTATGAAATGTCAATAGGGGGTCATCCATTTATGATGTCCACACAGGGGGGAGGTCCAAAAAAAAAAATTGTGGACGTCATAAATGAATGACTCCTAGGGCTTAGCATGTGAGCTACTGCTCTCTTACTACTGTATGCTCCCAAAAATGCTGACATATGTAACTATTACTTGTTCTTAAGCAGTCAACTTACATACATCTTAAAAATTAACTTGTTTTTTTTGTCCCATTATACAAGAGCTGTACCCATTTACATAAATGGCATAACAATAAATTCTGGAGATATTTTATACTTCATAGAGACAAAACTACAGCTATATACAAATATATGTACAGAAAATGAACTGATGCCACCTTACCATCACACACATAGCAACAACATTGCCGGTACATAGGGCACCACTTCTTCATCACAAAGTTAAACAGCAACAGTTTTAAAAAACCTTTACACTTTGTATACTGTTTCTATACCATCCTTTATACACTTTACTGACATTTTTAACATTCTGTAACTGATATAAAAACTTTAGACTTTGTGTACTGTTTCTATACCATCATTTATACACCTACTGACATTGTGTAACTGATATTAAAAAAAAATTGTAGTCACCATAATTCAGATAAAAGTAACCAAGCTTTGCTTTTGATAATAAAAAAATATGTCAGCCAAATGCACTTAAACTCAGTGGCCTAAACAAAATCTTCCTGTTCAGACAATATACAAAAGCAAAAGACTTAATTTGATAATGGCAAGATTTTTTTTATAAGACTTCTGCTGATGGTATATCTGTACCGTAAGAAGGCAAGAAATACAATTTTTACATGGGCTAAATTCCTCCACATAATCACTTGTCTGATCACATTGTACAGCAAAATATTTAGATGCTCCACACTCGTAGCAAGCTGCTCAGCAGACAGCAGTAAGAGAAATTTTCATCATCCCGTCACAGAGCAACTGGTCATCATTCCCTGCCACAAAGAGCTGTTCATCATCCCCGGTAGTCCATCATTCCCTGTCACAGACAATTGGTCTCATTCCCTGTCACAGACAATTGGTCATCATTCCCTGTCATAGACAATTGGTCATCATCCCCTGCCACAAAGAGCTGTTCATCATCCCCGGTAGTCCATCATTCCCTGTCACAAAGAGCTGTTCATCATTCCCTGCCACAAAGAGCTGTTCATCATCCCCGGTAGTCCATCATTCCCTGTCACAAAGAGCTGTTCATCATTCCCTGCCACAAAGAGCTGTTCATCATCCCCGGTAGTCCATCATTCCCTGTCACAAAGAGCTGTTCATCATTCCCTGCCACAAAGAGCTGTTCATCATCCCCGGTAGTCCATCATTCCCTGTCACAAAGAGCTGTTCATCATTCCCTGCCACAAAGAGCTGTTCATCATCCCTGGTAGTCCCATCCTCTGTCACAGACAACTGTCACATCCTCCCATCACACTTCCACCAGACCTAACACAGAGATGTCCTATAAGTAGACCCTGCGCAGGTCTGTGGGGGCGGTGATCATGTTGCACTGTGGGCATAACTTCTTGGCTCCCTGTTGACAAACACAGTTGTACTGTCATTTAGCTTTTATAAAGGTACCCAGGTTAAAGTAAATAAAACTAAAGCATTTTTAAGGTGGATGGCATGGTCAATTGTTAATGTCAAATCAGTTTAGTTCTTAGATTTGAGCCAACACAAATAGTCCATGAATCAACACATTTCTCATGGGGACATGACTTGAAAGTTTGGTAGGAATGGAGATGGCAATACAATCCCTTCATATTTTCAATCACAAAACCTCAAAAAGTGTACTTCATCTGCTAAATGGACCATCAGGTCTAAAAAGTACACTACTTTTTTCCCAGACTTATTTAAGATTTTTGTTGAATTAAAAAATTTCATAGCTCTAATGGATTTAAGTTGAAAATAGTTTAAGCAGTATAAAATTTGTTTCCTACCACAATAGCTCTGATGGATTTGAGTAGAAACTAGTTTAAGCAGTATAAAACATTGTTTCTTACCAAAGTTCTCATCCAGCAAGCCTCACAGTGAACATGCCAACACTGTATAGATGTGAGGGGGGTCTTGTAAGATTCCTGGACAAGAGAGACAACTGCATTCAGTTAAATACTATCATGTTGTTTTATTGAAATAATGTTTTTAAGTCATAGCATCACCATGTAGGCTGGATACATATTTTGTCCTTGTTACAACATCCTCTCAGTTGAATGAAAGTTTTACTCATGGTTGAGTGAATGATTTAGTCATACTACAACATGTTTGAATGAATAAAAAATCTCTCACCAACTAGAACATGTTTGAATGAATAAAAAATCTCTCACCATACAAATGAGACATTTCTGTTTGGAAGATTTCTCTGCTTCAAGATCCCTCAGCTTCATGCGTAGTGCTGCTATCAATGCTGATTGCTCCTCTCTGATAATGACAAAAAAACATCTTTAATGGATGTGGTAGGTGTAGTGGGTTTGGGTAAAATAGGTGACATTTTAAAAATATCAATAAGCTAGTAAACAATTGATGGAGGATGGTAAGTATGGCTCTCTGCACCCAGAATAGGAAGATACTAACTCAACATCAATTTACCCTTCATTAAAGTGTGATAAAGGACCGGTAAAACATTTAACTTGAACTTACCCTTGATCACAGTTTGATAAAGGAACGGTACACATTTTAAAAATTTGAACTTACCCTTGATCAGTTTAATAAAGGAACAGTACAAAATTTTTAACTTGAACTCACCCTTGATCACAGTTTGATAAAGCAAACCCTTCATAAGGTACAGAAGACTTGCTACAGCCCCCACCTGAAAGATAAACAGTAGGGAATACATCGCTCAATGATCCAATGTTATTATACTCAAATGAAATATGATACCTTAAAATAAAATAATTCTTAAGCAACAAAAGAATAAATTCATATTTTTTGTAAAAACTACTTCAAAATGTGAACACAAAAAGTGGTATGAAGATATACTAAAAGTAGATGACAAGTTTCACATGAATCACATTATTAAAAAGGAAGTACAAACTATCTGGGGGGCCTATGATATAGGTGTAAGCTTACCATCTGAGTTAACTGTATCAGTTCTTGATGAAAAACTACAAAAAGAAAACAGAAAAACTATTATGGGAAAAAATACAATCCAGCTAATTTTCACTAAAATGAATTAAGGAGTATTACCTACAATTAAAAAAAATAAAACTACTATTATGAAATTTTTTTTTCTCTACCAACAAAAGAAGTTACCACTTCATTTGGTTATGGCTGTGAAAAAAACTTACCTGCTCTCTATAGCCAGGTGAGATCTAGGTGGTTTGTTGTCATTGTGCGGACTGCTGCCCATAGAACCCAGGGGTAGAATGTCTTTCTCACTAAATCTTCACCAAGTTAAGGAATTTATTTTACTTATATTTGGTTCAGGGTGACACAATGTTTGAATTTTATGATTGGTTTACTTGGCAACATTTGACGGAAAAAACATGTGGCTTATTACAAATTTTAAGGTAAAAAGATAGTGATTTGCCAGTTATTTATCAATAAATAGTAATTAAAAATGATTAACTTAAAACACAAAAAAAGATACTGTGGTTTTCCATATTCCTCTGTGTCATCACCATCCACATTTAACTCCCCATCCTCATCTGATCCTCTCTTACTGTTCACAGTTTGGAAACCTTGACCTTCAAGATGTAAAAAAAAATTCTTTATGAACCCATTTTGAATTTCTGTAGCCTAATTTTCACTTTTAAAAAGACATAAACAAGCAGTGCGGCACAGGCAACATAGTAATTAATATTTGATACAAAAAATTCTACAACTTTTCATCCAAAACAAAGCAAAATAGATTTCATGTTACCATGTAAAAGATTCTACCACTTTTAACCCAAAACCAAATTAAATTATATGAGATGCTACCAATTCTACCACTTTTAATCCAAGCCAAATTAAATTAAATTATATTTGATGCAACCAATTCTACCACATTAGATGGGGTCCTCAATCTCTCTGACCCCGCCCACTTACCAGAAAATCCACCCTCTAACATGGAGGTGGCCCTGACCCTGGTTTGCCCCGCCCACTCATATTCCTCATACTCGCCTTCCACATCTACAGGTTCCTCTTCACCATCTCTCTGGGAGTAAAAAAGTTGTATTTGTAAGTTAACACTACATGCAAGTTTCTCATTGTGGCTTCAAGAAAAATATAGTGAGCTAAAGTTGAATTCTTTAAAAATAAAAATACATTTAAAGAATAAAGGTATTGCAAAAATAACATTTCTTGGATGAAAGCAATGTTTGTCATTATCTTTCTAAGACTAGAAGTTACCATCAGACATAAAAATACTCAACCTGTTTAACATATTTTAATATTAAAACAGACTACGGCTACTAAAAAACATGTCTCCATACATCTAGCCAAGCGCTGAAACACCTGCCTACATACACCCAGCCAACAGCTGAAATACCTGTTTGAGGCACAACTCCACATGTGCGTTGAGATCCTCAGCCACACCCAAAACTCTGTCGTTACAGACGGGGCACACAGTTTCCTTGACATTCTCATCACCCGGCCTCTTCTTCTTGTTGCGACTACGAGCTGTAAACAAAGATTTTAAAATGCAGAGAATGAGTACCCAGCTATTGCAACATTTATCATGTGAATCTCTTGCTTTCTACAGGATCATATCAAATCATCATCTTCTCCTGTTTATGCCCATAACACAATGGGCAGATGAAGTAGAGTTCATCTGCTTCAGACAACCTCGGCATATAAAGGGACAGTGTTGTTAGCACTATGTCCAGCCGCCTTCGTTTCCCTAACTTGAGTTAGGTAACTATCAGAGCTAGGTGGACTCAGGGACATTCTACGGAATTGAACCCAGATTCCAACTCCAGACTTTGGGTTAGTAGTCTAGCTCTCTACAACTAGGCCACACGTTTCATATCATATCACATACTATATGACAACCACTGGACAGTGGGCAACATTCCCTCAAAGAATGTGTGCAAAAAATAAATTTGGTGTCCATAGAGCTCTAAATGTCTTGTATGAAGTTATTTTTATTTTACAAACTGGCTGCACAATTGGTTTTCAATTATTGCATTGCACTGCAACAGAGCAACAGTTTTAGGGTGGTTAATTCCTTTTTATATTGCGTCATTTGGGATCAGGGGATATTCTAGAAAAGTTTGATATACCACACGCTTTGATTTGATTTTTGATTGTTTCCATAAGTTTCCTTTTTTGTGTTTTACATGTGGATAATCCTTAAGTGACCATCTTATTAACAGCTGAACTTACAAGTAGGATCATTAAAAATCAACTCAATAAGGCAAGGTGTGATAAAGTCTAGACATACAACTTTATCTGACACTGCTCAAGTTAGGAATTTTCCTTTGATCATACAATTAAACTTAATTCAGAATGATTTCTTTGGCTTAAGAATTTCGATTAGGATTTCTATAGTGAAGCACATTTTCAGCATTCCTTATGTTGATTGTGCTACTTATTACAATAGAGGATTTCTCACTCTTCATCAAGATGGAGAAGTTCCCTCACACCTCATCAAGATGGTGGAGTTACTTCGCACCTCATCAAGATAGAGGAGTTACTTCGCACCTCATCAAGATCATTAAACCAACTTTTTATTTCCCTCCACACAAAAGATCCAGATTGGGGAGAATGGGGTGAATGGGTGATCACGTTTCTTGGAGACACTAGGTGTCACCACAAGCTTCAAAGGGGAGTAACTCTAATCACACACAGCAGATAATGGAAAAACTGCTGTAGGTCTCATAAAGTAGACATTGAGGGATTTTAAATATTTTTTTTTAACCCAACATTGCTTGTACTTCAATCTTGATCTTTTTTTTATTTTTACAATAATTATAGACCAGAATTTCTCAACCATTAAAAAAATGTTTCTTGGACACAAACTAACAACAAATGCTGTTAAAAAAATGTTTTGCTGTTTTTATGGCTGAACTGAGAAGCCCATGTGATGAGCAAGTTGCACAGACTCATCAGGTCAGGCAATTATCTTTCATTGCAGTTTAAAGATGGCTGGCTCACGGGCGAGAGGCAGGGGAGAGACAGGAGAGAGCCTGGGTAGCTCTTTTACAAAGTGATCATTATACTCTCATCATGCTCTAAATTTGTCAACACACAAGTGAGGGGGGTGGGAGAGGGAGGAGATAAGGAGGAGATAAGGAAGAGTGAGAGAGAGTGTGTGTGTGTGTGTGTGTGTGTGTGTGTGCGCGCGTGTGGAGTCAGGGGGATGATTTGCTATGAATCTCTTAAAAAGTAAACTTCAGTTATCAAATGCATTAACGTCATTCCAAATTTCAGGTGTTACTAGAATACCCGTCATCCGTTGGATAATTGTGGGTTTCGGGGGTCATCCATCAAAAAACATCACGTCTGTCACTCAGAGGCATAGCGACCCTTCCCGGCGCCCGGGGACAAAGTTTTCGATTTGAACCCCCCCCCCCCTCAAACTTTTGATGTGCACCCCCCCCCCCCACTCAAACTTTCGATTTGAACCCCCCTCAACCTATCAATTTATTTTTCCAAACCATTTTGGCGCCCCAACATATGTCCCCCCCCCCCTTCCCCCCTCCACCTCCCCACCCCCCGCCTCCCCTCCCCACCCCCCGCCTCCCCTCCCCTACCATCCCCCCCCCCCTCCTCGGTACGCTACTGCAGTGTCACTTATCGTCACAAAAAACAGACCCCACATTCAAATATATGTTTTTTATCTTTTAAAAACACCGAAAACACCGATTTCGGACTATCCCTTCATAAACTGACGTCACAGGTGACCTACTCAACTCTACTTCACCTGCCCAGTGTCCTGCCAAGTCTCAGACAACATGTTTTTATCGTTTAAAAAACAATTCCAGCCGAGCATGTATCTGACCACACTATCCTTTCATATGCTTAGGACAAAGAAACAGATGAACTCTACTTCACCTGCCCTGTATCTTGCCAAGTTCAGATAGGCAACGTTATCATTCACATCTAAAAAAAAATTGAAAAAAAAAATTTCATTGACATATTGGTCTAGAACCCGTGCCTCCTGCATGAGAGCTGACTACGCTACCATTTTAGCTATTTACTCGTGACGTCACAAGTGAATTTTTATACTATACTATGTGTCTCCTTATGCAACTTGATTTACGCGTATAGATTCTAGATCTAGATCTAAAAATAAGTCTAGTAGTACTAACTTTCAAATTAAATTTTATCTTAAATAAGCCAAACAAAGATTTATATAAAATAATTAAGGCCTGAAATAGATTCTAGATGTAGAATTTACATTGAATCTAGTGACCTACATCTAGGCTAGATCTAGATCTAGGCTAGATTCATAAATTTCCTTCGATAGCTGATCTTTAGATCTAGAGAAATTTATCGTAAAACTAAATGAAAAAGACAGTTGAAAATTGATATAAGTGTTGGGACGTAATAAATACAGCAAACGGACGTATTGTTAAAGTTATGACCGACAGAAAATTAGATTTAGAACGCGTTAAACTTTTGAATGGGAACACAATTTTCTTCAAAAGACGCCGCCATTTTATTGTACTAAAGAGTAAACAAAAACCTGTGACGTCACTATTCCCACAAAGTTTAGTCAAGGTTTTAACATTTTAAAAAAAAATGGGTTATTCTGCGTAGGAATAAATCAATAAATTAATTAACGTCTTTAAATAAATGTGTGATTAACAGTCTGTCTGCATTAAAAAATTATTCTCTACCTGCATACCATTTTACAGCTTTCCAGATAGAGTCGAACATATCACAATTTTCGATCAGGCAAACAAACAAATAAATATTCAAACATGTAAACAAACTTGACTTTTAGTAGTATATAGAAGTTATACTGTTTAAAACTTTGCTTTCCATGCATTATAGTATGTATCAAGTCTTTATTTTATTTATTAATTATTTTTTTTAATTTAAAAACTACTTCCTTAATTTAGCAATTAAGATTTTATAGGCAGAAGATGCTGGTACAAAAAATGTCAAAAAAACAAACAAACATGGCATCTTGTTAAGTTGTTCTCATTACTATGTGACTAATTAAATAATCTTTAGTTGTCTGTATCAAGTTCTATTACAAGACATAAAACTATGATGCCCAATCCTGCTACAATAATTAATCCTGCGTGAAAGTTAATCCACCGAAACAGTAACCTCATGTGAAAGTTAATCCACCGAAACAGTAACCTCATAATCACCCAGGAGGTAATGTGGGGAGGGTTCACATTCTGTCAGGAAAACTGGATCTGTGTATAGATACATCTGAGTCAACATTTTTATTGGTCTACACTGCACAGGCAGGGGGAAACCTGACCCCCAAGGGAGGCATCCTCCCAGCCCAGGTGTGTGGGAGACAACATGTGTACTGGGTGTCACCAGGCCATTACAGAGTCTGGTGTCACAGGATACACAGCCTCAGGTAACTTATACAGGTGGGGGGCAACACAATGCTCACACTGACACTACAGGTAGAGTAGCTTCAAGATTTCACACAAAACATGTCACTAATTGTAAGACTAAGATTTGCTTCTTTCTACTGTCTACTGTCAAACTATACTGTTGATACAACACTTGTAATACTGTCAAACTATACTGTTGGTATGCTGACTGTTAAATTATATTGTTGATACTACACTTGTAATACTGACTGTCAAACTATGCTGTTGATACTACACTTGTCAAACTATACTGTTGATACTACACTTGTCATACTGTCAACTATACTGTTGATACAACACTTGTCATACTGACTGTCAAACTATACTGTTGATACAACACTTGTCATACTGACTGTCAAACTATACTGTTGATACAACACTTGTCATACTGTCAAACTATACTGTTGATACTACACTTGTCATACTGTCAAACTATACTGTTGGTATGCTGACTGTCAAACTATATTGTTGATACTACACTTGTAATACTGACTGTTAAACTGTTCACGTACATTTTCGTTTTATTTCTTCTTTTAAATCGTCAGCTTTTGGTAAATCAGTTTAGCTTTTATTCAACAAATTTATTTTTTTCTTGTTCAGATGCAACCGATTTGATACTAAGACTATTCTGCTAGTGGAAACAGGAAGAGTTTAATTCTATTTCTCTGACTTACCACTTAGTCTTGACTGTCGATTGCATCGGATCCGGAGGAAATTCTATATAAAAGAGATTCAATATTTTTTTTAAATACAGTGATAAATAGTTTATTTAAATAGTTGATATCAATGTGTAGCTTAAGTTTAATCATAAACTAAACAGATAAATAATTAGCAATTAAGTATAAAAATGGAAATGATTTAAGTATTTTCTTAATGTATTATATGTTTATTTTGCTCAATTACTCATTTCTCACACCCCAATTTCATGGAGAGATTTGGAGAAGAATAAACTAAGCTAGCAATCAGTCCATATGCTTTGTATGTAAGTTAAGGGATTAAGGTGAAAATGGGGTGTAAATAATCCTTGTGCCACTTCAGGTGTTCAGGTGGTGGAGGTGTGGGGAGGGAGGGGCAGGGGTTTGGGAGACAATGCAAATGTCCTGATCCCCACCACCCACAAGAAAATGAGTGGCAGCTTCACACCCAATGGCCATACATCACAGAGCACCTTCTAGCACCTTCCATGTGAAGGTGTGTCTGAACTGGCTCTTTACTTCCTTGGCTTCAGGTTACCAGCCGCCCCCACCCCTTGATGAATACCCAGGTGTCAGTTTACCCATCATATGACAGAGATGGACTTAGCTCACAGCAGGGAGGGTGGAGGGGCTCTGTATTCAGCTTGGCCAACAAGCTAGAGGGGTTGTTGGTCTAGCACTCAGGCTGGCTATGTTATATTGTTACAGCTAAAAAAAAACTTTATAGAAAAAAAGTGGCCACTATCTTCAGATGGGAAGAAAACTATAAAATTTGCAGTGGAGTTAGTTACTATGGTTGTGTTACTCCTTGTTCAAGTACAAGTATAGGAGCTAAACATTTCTGGCAAAAATGTAATAGTCAAGTAGTGAATGTACAGCAATAGGACCATGTTTGGTGTTGATGTTATTGGTGAATCAAATGGCCTGCATGGCATAGTGTTAGAATTTTTGGCCAGAAAAATGAGCCACGTGACTTACATCGTAACGTGACCTGGAGGCGACGTCTGGTGGGGGAGACTCTCTGTTCTTCCGCGAGCCGGACGGCGAGGGCAAACTCTGGGAAGGAACAAAAAAATTCCAAGTGTTTCATACCTCACTACCCATGCTATCATTTGTCACTGTTGATTAACCAGAAAAAATTATCCTAACATAAAACACAAGACTTAAGGGGATATGCGCGGAAAAAAATCACAAAATTTCTTGTTTTCGTCATGATGGGTTTCTTGCACTTTTGGATACTTTGTCCATTTTTGTATATAGAAAATAATAACTTTAAAGAGAAAAAATATTTTATGTGTATGAATTACGATTTTTATGACCCTATTAATTAAAAAATAATCAATTTTTCCCAAACTTACAAGCTCTCTATGACAAGTTTTTTATCCGTCATTATATTGTATTTGGCCTCATTGGAAAGCTGGATTTCTCATGTATCTAATAAACTTAATTTCCTAAATCTCGGAAACACCCAAAGCTAACAATCGGCTTTGCAGTTTACACAGATATGGTACTTTCCTGACCTAGTTTTCGTTACTTTTGGCTGTTTTTCTCAGTTCGCATGTTTTTAACACTAAAAAGCCTACTACTTTTTTATTTATTACACAATGCCAACCATATTTTAGGTTATTGTTCTTGATGCAAATATACAACTTTTGTCACGAGGGAATTGTGATTGCTTTTATAGAAAAAAAGTATTTAGTAATTAATATGCAAATTTTGAAACTTTTGAATACTAAAAAGGGTACGATTTTTTAGACCTTGCAAAATTCTTACTGGTAATTATTTCAAAAAGTCGTCGTGACAAAAGTTTTAATATATACTGAAATATAAGCAGTTTAAATTTGATTGCTATAGGTGCATAAATAAAAAAGCCTTAGTATTTTTAAAAGTACCGAAAAATTCAAAATGGCGGAGGTTTTTTGGGTTTCCATGACAACCAAAATTGTTTTAGACCCATTTTTTTGCTGTTTAATACTTACTTTTATATTCCAAATATAATAAAAGTATTCAAAAGGCTTTAGATCTTAAACTGTAAAAAATAGAAAAAAACATAGCATATCCCCTTAAGATTGGGGCCTGCCGTAATGAAAGTAGAACTAAAGATTCGCATTTATCACAACCGTCTCGTCAAGCTAATAGAAATTGTCTTCGAAAAGAACAAAGAGTCATAAAAAATGACGTCATGCTTATTGACAATTTTTACCTCCTTGTATCGTCACAAAACTGGGAAATAACTGCTCAAGTTTATTTTCAAAATGCAAAAAGTTTGACGTCATGGATGAACCCCAAACCCTATTCTCATCTCGCTTTGTTTCTATAAGGTTCCCTTTCACACGTTTGCAGGTGCCCGGTGACGTAATACGCCGTAAAAAAAACTTGGACGACGACACGAAAGACACAAACATATTCTCCCAAACACCGCATGCCTTCTTTACGGCGTCGGCTGATGACGCCGAGTCAAGGACGCACCCCAAACTTCGCAAGACTTATTTGCAATTAGCAAGACAGCACCGACGTCACCACTCACACCTCCGCATATCCGGTTCGGCGCGGACCCGATCCCGTACCCCGTCACGACAAGATCGCCCGGTAACACGGCACCTGCCGACACCGCTACCCGCTTTTTGTTTCTCTTACCTCCCCCCATAACTTTGACATACACCCCCGAAAAAAATGTCCCACTAGCAAGACGCTGCTAATTCGCCTTACTTTACGCCGCCTCCCCCACAGAATAAAGCGACTTGTCAGCAAGCTCGTCGTGGGATTGAACAGGTGTTTTAACACTTGGGCACGTAGAACCGGTGCTGGCCAAGACGGATAGGTGGCGCTGTCTCCAGCCCAGTCTCCCCTTAAGCCTGCGCTCTTGTACGCCAGACAGTGCCAACAATAGGGCCCCATCAACTTAATCCGTGGCATGTTTACATAATGTGAACGGTACCAGATATCCGCAATACCGGGGGTGGGGGGAGTTTGAGATCCATGTTTCCCATCCTCCTTCACTTCCTAGTGCTCACAATCAGGATTGTGAAGGTAAATATGACATAGCAAGCAGTGAAAGAGCAGCTGACGGTCGGTAACGCTAAACTCGATATAATGTGTAGATGGTTCCGATAACATAAAGACCGCGCGGCAAGCTGTGCCTCAACTGGACATTACGAACGTGGAGAGAGTGGGGATCAGAGTTAAGAGTTATATAAGTGACAACAAACAGGGCTTGTGAAGGTGTCAACGATACAGCTGATGTGAGTTGTAGGTCTATTTCGGAAGCATATATATATATATATATATATATATATATATATATATATATATATATATATATATATATATATTTATATTTATTTATTTATTTATTTATTTATTTATTTCTCATAAGAGAGAATTATTACTCTAAGGCAGGGGTCTCCAAACTACGGCCCGAGGGCCAGATGCGGCCCGCGAGGTCTTCTCATCCGGTCCGCGGCGATCTTTTTGTCCACGGAATAAATGTTTGTTAGAGGTGGCTGAGAAACTATTCCCAGAAAATGTAGCTTTGGGTGCAAATACCATTGCCCGCCGTGTTGCAGATATCGGTGAAAACATCGTGACTCAAATAGCGAAAATGCAAGCAAGTTTGGCCATTTTTTAATTATAATGGACAGCTGTTCCACATCTCAACTGCTCATGTTCATTAAAGGTGTGGATGAAGGCATAAACATAACACAAGAACTGGCTTCTCTACATAGAATGTATGGCACTGTTACCGGAGAGAATATAAATAGTTCAAAGACATGTTAAAAGATAGAAACACAGAATCGAAAGATTTACCATATTTCACAGCAGCAAGATGGCTAATTTGCGAGAAATTTTTCTGAGCAGATTATTTACGTTAAGAAAGGAAATAAGTGACTTCCTTGAAAGTAAAGGCAAGCCACAAGCTGATGTACTTACTGTCTGATGAAGAGTGGGTATAGAAATTAGCCTCTGCTGCAAACATAACTAGTCATTTAAATTTTCTGAACCTAAAACTACAAAAGAGTGAAATCTAGTTTCTGATCTATACATCCACCTAAAGGCTTTCAGATCCAAACTTGTCATGTGTTTGGAACAAGTACAAGCCAACAACTTACGCACTCTCAGAAGTGCAAGGTCTTTAGGCTGAAGCAACCACTGAGTTCCCCACGTATTTTGCATACGAGATCAGCAAAGACTTCAAGCAGCAGTTTCAGTAGCGTTTTTTTGACATGGATTCAAAGGTAGAAAAAAGTGAGACTGTTTCAGAACCCATTTGAAGCAAATGTGGCCAGTTGCAAAGGTGAACTGCAGCTGGAGGTCATTAGAGACACGTTCAAAGAAGGGCGGCTGGGTTTTTATAAGTTTTTGCAAAAGGAAGATTTTCCTAATATTAAAACTTTTGCATCAAAGTACCTTTCAATTTTTGGAACAAGATACCTGTGTGAACAAATATTTTCAAGATTGAAATACGTGAAGAACAATTTGAGAGCAAACTTGGACCTCGAGTGTGATTTTGGCCACTGACAGTGTTTCTTTCAGACTTTTAAATTGAAATCCTTGGCGTAGATAAGTCAGCGTCAAAAGAAAATGCTATGTCAGTGTCGCATTTAATAAATATGGCAATGTCAAAATATAGAGTTTTGTGTGTATCATAGTACAGGGTTCTGTCAGTGTCAAAGTGCAGGGTTCTGTCAGTGTCAAAGTGCAGGGTTCTGTCAGTGTCAAAGTGCAGGGTTCTGTCGGTGTCAAAGTGCAGGGTTCTGTCAGTGTCAAAGTGCAGGGTTCTGTCAGTGTCAAAGTGCAGGGTTCTATCAGTGCCAAAGAACAGGGTTCTGTCAGTGTAGTGTCAAAGTACAGGGTTCTGTCAGTGTGGCCGTAAAGTTTGGTGCCACTCCCCATGCCGATGCATCTGTCAGTGTCACAGCAAGGGCCATGTCAGTGTCGAGTAGAAAGGATAACGTCGGTAAGACAACGTCTAATTGAAGACAGTTTCCAGGCTTAAAGCCCCGTGACACACAATCACACCGAGCCATTTTGTTTATGTAACACGATAGCCAGACAATTTACAACCAAAAGCGTGACCAAATCCCCCGCCATTGTCACCAGCAAATCGAGGGACAGCCATTCTGTTTTTCTGAGGTGGCTTCGGCCTCGGAAGAACTAGCTCTCCAGTTAAGAAACTCCGTCAGAGAAGAACTCGCACAGGGATCGGCGAATTGGGGTGGGAAGAATGTAATCTTCTGAGCCTACTTTACGCGGCCTATCTCAGCTAACAGCGCGCGGATTAACGAACAACGCGGCGTAATCCCTTTCTTAAGCGGTGAAAATGATTACCTCAGCCAGGGCCGGCTGGAGTAGCAGGTGTCCGGTGACAGATGTTAATTTGCTGTTATTAAAGTGTCAAATCTTATTTCAATTAGAGGGAGGAGGGAGGTTCGCTCTAGCAGACTAAGCCCTGCTAGCACTCGGCCAAACGCAATCACACGGGGCTACGTTATTCCAACTTACCTCGCATACCCCTCGATAAATTAGTGACGTTTCTGCTTTAAACAATTTAAATGTGTATTTCCCCCCAGCAAAACCTCAAGTTTTTAATTCTCATTTCTCATTCCCTATATGGCCTGTTAAGCCAAAAGTCTCGAGTTCGAATCCGGGTTCAAGTCAGTAGAACGTCCCTCAGTTCACCCAGCCCAGGATGGGTACCTAACTCGTGTTAGAGAAACAATACGACTGGGCATAGTGCTGACCACATTATCCCCTTGTATGCCGAGGTAATTGAAACAGATGAACTCTACTTCATCCGTCCCGTGTGTCTGGGTACAAACGGGAAAAGATAATTTCCTCTACTCTCCACCCCAGTAACCAAGCTTCAACAGGTGGTTGCTGCCTTTTAGGATACTGATTCATGTAATTAATGATTGTCCTACCTTCTTATGATGTTAATAATTTTAGTTTTAATTGAAAGTGACAAAAGTCAAACTATATTACAGGAATCAAATAATAATAAAGTCTCAAATGTGTATTAAGTATTAAGAAATATTTTGATTCGCTTGAGAATTGTA